TCTACACCACACGCTGCATCCCCAAAGCCACCAGCATTGTGGACGACCCCATCCATCCCTAACAAGGACTTTTTTCACTGCTGCCGTCTGGCAGAAGGTACCGGAGCATCCGTGCCATCAAGGGCCAGCTTTGTCCCTCAAGAGGTTTTTAAACTCACAAGGACTGAGCTGAAACGCCCCCCTCACACACACACATACTACACACTCACTACATAAACACCCACACTATCTGGAATCTTGCTGCTAATACTGTGTTCTACTGAAGTACTGTGTATATCCTACCTCAGTAACTGCTGTGTTTATGTATGTTAGCTTACTTTTACATTTACTGCATTTGGCAGATGCTCTTATCCAGAGCAACTTACAATGTGATCATTTTACACAGGTAGGCGAAGGAAGTGTTAGGAGTCTTGCCCAAGGACTTTTATTGGTATAGTGTAGGATGTTTACCAAGGTGGGGTTTGAACCCCAGTCTATAGTGTAGAAGGCAGAGGTGTTACCCACTACACTACACTACACCAACCACTGTGATCTGGCTGTGTCACAAATCACAGCATGTTAAATATGTCTGCACCTTATTCCACTACCTCATGTCCAGAAATGAGTGCTGTGTCGGTGATGCACCCTCCTGTCTGTTTACTGTGTCTAATGTCTGTTTATCATATTTATTGTATTGTTTCTAGTTTAATGTTTGTACACTCATGTCTGCACATTGGCGCTTTGTACTGTCTATTCTGTTCCATGTTGCCCCGTGTCGGTCCTGAAGGACCGTAATGTCGCTCCACTGTGTACTTGTATACCCTGTGAACAAAGCTGTGTTTCCGGTTTCACTGAGAACAGAATGTTTATATTTGCTGGTCTGGGAGGTGAAGAGAGCGCTCTGATTGGCTGAGCTACACATTACTCCGCCCTTTTCCACCCTCCTCTGTGGCGGAGCACTAATCCAGTCCAAACCGGTTTAGAGTGGAAGTGAAAGTGGAGCCGCGTCTGTTCGGCGGAGAGAAGACCATAAACAGAGAGAAGCTCAGAGGTCATTACTGAACATCAACACTCCCAGTTCACTGAGGAGAACAAGGAGAACCACACTGATCTGAGAGGAACAGCTGCTGGGTTCTGCTTTAGGTTCTGCTGAAAGGCTCTGTTTGATAAAGTCAGATAACTGAAGCTAAGCTAAGCTAACGCTCAGGTAGCCAGTAAACCCAGAGACATGTTGGAGCTTTTAGAGCCTCAGAGCTTCTTTCTGTGATGAGAACCTTTAGTTTATGGAAATCACCGCATTTCGGTTATGAACAGGTCAGTATGGGCGCTTCTTACTGACTTTACTATGGGCAGAACCCAGCGGCTAACAGCTACATGCTAACGGCTGGGTGACGCATTTGTTCGTTCGTGCTGTACCGGATCTGTGGATGACTCGTTCGTTCGTGCTGTACCGGATCTGTGGATGACTCGTTCGTTCGTACTGTAGTTGAGCTGTGAATGACTCGTTCGTTCGTGCTGTAGTTGAGCTGTGAATGACTCGTTCGTTCGTGCTGTAGTTGAGCTGTGGATGACTCGGTCGTTCGTTCGTGCTGTAGTTGAGCTGTGAATGACTCGTTCGTTCGTGCTGTAGTTGAGCTGTGAATGACTCGTTCGTTCGTTCGTACTGTAGTTGAGCTGTGAGTGACTCGTTCGTTCGTGCTGTAGTTGAGCTGTGGATGACTCGTTCGTTCGTTCGTACTGTAGTTGAGCTGTGAATGACTCGTTCGTTCGTGCTGTAGTTGAGCTGTGGGTGACTCGTTCGTTCGTACTGTAGTTGAGCTGTGAGTGACTCGTTCGTTCGTACTGTAGTTGAGCTGTGAGTGACTCGTTCGTTCGTGCTGTAGTTGAGCTGTGGATGACTCGTTCGTTCGTTCGTGCTGTAGTTGAGCTGTGGATGACTCGTTCGTTCGTTCGTGCTGTAGTTGAGCTGTGGATGACTCGTT